TTGATGATATGTATTTAAGTGTTTTTAGTGACGATGACAATATTGTTCCCAAAATACGTATCAGCAATTTTTTAGTTATTTTTGTCTTGTCCACTTTCTTAGCTGTCTGTCTTGAGATAACGATTTTAACAGTTTTCATTTCCTAACTCAAATGAAATTAATATTATTGATCACATTCAATATAGATCATAGAATATTTCTCTATTTTAATTAATAACACACACTCAATATATAAATATTAACTATCCTTTTATCATATTTTTGATTAGGAATAATGTCTGGTTCATACTATAAGGTAATTAATATTTAAGTTTCAACGAGGAAACTTAACTTAAATACATCTTTACAATTGATAACTACTTGAGGCTATAATTTAATGTATTATGGTTACTTTAACAAATCGATTTGAAACAAAATTAAAATTAAAATATGAGGCATATTTAGATTAATGATAAGCGAATGTAGAATTAATCTTTTAGAAATAAAAATTTATTATGGTTGTAAAAATTCAAGAGAAGATCAATTTATTCTTTTAGAAAACTGCATTTATTATATATATTTTTAGAGAAAAAATTTATTTGATAATAATGGTTATTATTTTTGATTGTTAATTTTTACAAAAGTTATTATACAGGATTTTTTAACTAAATATCCATTAAATTGCTTCTGAAAAATCGAATAATGGCTTAAGACTTTTTTTAATTAAAATTCCATAATTAGCAACATTTATGATTACTGGAAGTAGGTATAAATTAGAAATATGTTTGTTTACATAAACATTTTAAAATTATGAAAAATAAATTTTTAGAATGAAATCTTTTATTGTATAGCAATTATAAAATTAATTGCTCCCATTTGTATCGTTAACAATTTTCCTTATTTCTGAAATGAACTAATTTCACTCAAACATACGTCAAATGATTATAAATTGTATCAAGTTGATGACATTTCCCTTCGTCCCATATAAATAGAGAATAGCACATTAAAAAGTTATATGATAATAACCACTATGATATTGAAAATAGCTACTTTTTACCTTTAAGTTATAATTTTTCGACTATTTTATGTAATATTTAATGTTTTATATCGAATTTTCTTCCTAATAATAGGAGGAATGAAATTAAAAAATGTGTTTATCTTTGTTTAAAACTTACACTTAGTAATAGTTTCGATTAATCATGTAATTATTAAAAAAATATATATTTGTTAAACTATTTTTATACACAATGGTATATATCAATAATTATAGTGATTTCATCATTTTCAGATGTTAAGTTATCAAATAAGAATCCGAATCTTGACTGTATTGGATTTTTGTAAAATTTGGTTTCTTAATCTTAAGATACTTAACTTTTGATGCAGAAATTAAAGATAACTAATATATCTGAGTATATTTGATACATACTATTTTAAAATGTTATGTACAAAATAATAAATTTTTTTTCACGGAATGTCTATTGTTTCAAGCTGAAAAATATACTACCTCATAAAATGGAAAAGATTTATCAGACTATTGATCATACAAGTGCATTAAATATTATTATATATGATACAATGATGTTACAATACAGGTAAACACTGATGAATAAAGAACTTCTCTTAAGAATTAAGTATTTACTATAATGAATGTGTACTTATAAAGTCGGTCAAAATCGTGTTTGATATTATTCAGAGGTTTTCCCAAACTCATTGAAAACACATCAGACTATGAATACCTTTGGGGATTCCCCTTGTAGGAAACTTAGATTCCTTTGACAACATTTTCTAAAGTGAATTAATTAACTGTTGACACTACTCATATTAAACTTCTCTTGATTATAAATCTCTTGCTATTATAATGTAATCGTTCAGTGTATTCTATACAGACAAAAGTTAATATTCTAGCCCTAAAACAGTCAGTCCTTTAACTATGGTTTTCGTATAATATTTAGTTGCACGAACAAAATGTTTCAATTAATTATGCATTAATAATTTCATAGAGTTTTGATTATAAATTTATGAAATTCGAGGAAAATTATTTCAAATAATAAACAGTTTTTAAGATAAAAATCGATCTAGAAATCTAAAGGAAGGTCTGAAGTTTTTTTTTATAATTTTAGTCTTCCTATGAGTATCAACTTTTTAATAAAAAAATTTGTATTACTTTGAAAATGTATTCCGTAATTTTTACATACTTAAATAATTTACCCGGCAAAATGTTTTAAATATTTTTTACATCGATTGCATTTCGAAAATTAATGTTGTGTAAATTTAATTTTGTTTATTATTTTATTAAGTTGCCTATATTTATGTTGATTTTACCAACGTCATATTACATTTTATTAACTTTTTGATTCTTTTTAAAGTTTCTGAGTATGTAAATCTAAATATGATTTTAGGTAAGTTGTGAATAGTACAAGTGTATGCACTTGATGTGGAGAAACTAATAGTAGTGAATAGGGAGTAGCACATACGGGTGGTTTAAATGATGTGATGGATAAGAGGAGGTAGAATTAGGAAAGAAGGTATAGTTGTGATCTTCGATACGAGGATTTTGAACTAATCGTTTACCCTTAAATCCACCACATCATTTCTTGTATTTCCCTTCACCTCTAGCCTGTCTGGAAATAGCTCTTTGTACCAACCCTGTTTAACCCGGCTTTTCAGAATTTCTCCTCTATTCTCATAAAATCCAGATGAAGTTGGACAACAAACTGAAGTTTTTCTTCCCGCCTTGAACCCATTAATGAACCTAGACTTTATAACATAAATCCGGCACCTGCCATTGCATCAACAAAATTATTTTTAGTATTTAGTTGAGGTTAGTAATCTCAATATATAATAGTTCAATCATATTACATTGCAACTTTTTTATTCACTTATTTCTGAAACAGATATTCCGTATTCCATTTTAATTGTTTAATGGTTGAGTTTTTTTATTAAACACAATGTTTTTAAAGCCCACTACATTATATAGTATTTGTAATTATTTCTGATCTATTAGAATATAAATGCAATGAAAACAGTCCATACTTGTAGGATAAGAAAATACCTCGTTGTGCGTACAATGTAGTTAGTTATTCCACCACAGGATTTTATTTTGTTGATTAACTTCTATTCGATAACTCCGGAGTAGGTACAAGTCTTAATTGAAATGTAAGCTAATCACTTATTTGTCATAGTAATGTAATAAATTTATATTTTTTGTGATATGTCATACAAACTTGTCGTTAGGGTAAAATCGTTTTGACATGAAATGGTTAGATATCAATGAGTAATACCTGATTAATTAGATCAAATTAACTCTGAATTATTTCGCAACAAAATATTAGATTTTTAACGCTCTCAGTGAATAGTATCAAGTATTTGCACGTCTTTATTAGTAGTTGTTAATTACGATAATTTTAAATTATTTGTTACCAATTTTCGTTTTTAATTCTCATTTTATTTATTTAAAATTCGTGTGTTCTATGATAATATACTCAATTAGAAGCCACAAATTGAAATAAATCACACATTTTAAGTTTAATTACTTTAATTAATGCGTTTACTATATACATATAAATGAGAATCTTAATGAAATATGATTTTTTCCAATTAAAATTAACCTTAAAAAAAATATACTACATCACACGTATTCATATACCAAATGTATGTACAAATATTAAAATATACCGAGAGACTAAATAATATTTTTTTTTTTAGCCAAAATAGTCGTTGAAATTTTATGTTTTACTATGTTAGAAAATTTCAGTCGACAAAAATTTAAATAAATTTAACTTTCTTAAAGTAATTTTATTATTGCTTAAAAAACGTTACTGTTTATAAAATACTCAAAAATTTCGTTTGAGTATTTTATTAATAAAAAATAAATCAAACCTTTGAACATTAATTTATTTATACAATTTTTTGTTCAAGTGCAAGTGTTCTATGCGTTTTTATTTCTGGATTTAATAAATATACATTAATATATTCTTTTGAATTATTAATTGTAAGTGATAAGAATTTTAGTTTAATTATACGACGTTTGTATTCAAACATTTAATAATTATTATAAATAAATCGCAGAAAAATGAAAACAAAACACCTTTTTTATTGATTTTAGAGAGTGGTTATATGAATATATTACATTTAAAAAAGACAAGTTTATTTTAAAAAATAATTTAATTTTATAAATTAATCATATTGGACTTGTAGGCGTTCCGTTTTGTTGTGCATACCTTTTCAGTGCACTTATTATTTACTAAAGTGATTAATATCCAATAAATTTAAGGAGGAGAAACTACGATTATTTATGCTAATACAAGTCGACCATATTGAAAGATACATCATACAGTATGGCAAGTCTGTGAGACGATGCATTTTACTTAAGTTTGAACAGCTATGTGTACATAAGGTCACGAAATATGTTTGAGTGTTTGAGAGATAGAACGAGCGAGTGCAAACGATTTTTGTAGCAGTTGAACGGTATTGGACGTTGTTAAAAAATTCGCGAGTGAGCGTACTTGTTTGTGCGTGGTAGTGGTTTTTGCCAAAAAACAATAATAAATATTTAAAAAAAGGCCGTTTATCTTTTCGGGCCGTTGTATGATTTTCGCGAGATCTAGAAATAGACGGGGACATTCACATCATCTGACCAGCTTGCCAAAAAATGTCTCGTGTTGTTATAATTGTTTAACTACGTAAATACTTGCAGGAGGCCTAACTTAAACAAACGCGCTTACAATGTTCCACATGTATTTATATTAACAAATGACGTCTACGAGTTCCTATAGTGACAAGTTTCCCTCTGCGCGCAAAAAGTAACGCGTTCTATTAAAAAAAAAAGTGGAGGTAGCGCCAACAGCGATGATAAATTTAATTTTAGAAAACAGCACATAATAGTAACGTGGTTGTTTATAAAAAAAAAAAAATTGCGTTTTTCGGTTGAAATCATTTCAACGGAACGGTGTACCGAATGTACTTAATGCATAATGCACACCGTTGCAACCCACCGCATTGTGCGCAACGTGTTTTGAAGTACATGGCACGTTTTCAGAAATTTAAACTCTAAAAAATTGCTCGGGCGATGAGCGGACCGGCTTAAAATTTATCTAGTTTTACTTGGGTCGGCTAAGTAGCGCGTAATCACCGACATTATTTTACATTTGCTCGCGGGCTGTTCATTATATTTTATCGACCATTAAATCAATGCAGTCTCCACTCTCTATCGAATCCGACTTTTAAACGGTCCGCGTGCTCCGAACAGACCCACGTCGAGGGAATAATGCAGTTAAATAGTGTCAGATCGACACAGCAAAAATGGTAAAATTTTAAGCAGTGAAATTACATTGTTTAAATAGACTTGTTCAATTAAACAAAAAAAAAATACATCTACATTAAGATAATGTCATGGTCTAAGAGTCATTGATACAAGCTAACAGACCAAATTCATGGATCAGTAATGAACATTAAGAATACAAACTTGTTATCTCTAATAAGTTATTGTGAGTATTTTTTATCACTGTGATATGTTAGACTAATATAATTGGTTACGCGATATCACGAGCTGTTTTAGTCTTTAGCTATTTATTAAAATCAATTGCAACACTTAATTAAAAAAACTCTCTACGAATGTGCCACAACTCGCAGCAGCTATTATCATTATCATAATGTCTATTATCATTATTCTACCGAACTGTTTTGATTTTATCTACTAGTACAACGTGTTAATAGTAGTTTGCGTCTGGGTAATTGTTCATCTGATAACAATGATATACTAATTGGTATAATTTGAAATTTGCTTTACGATAATAGACATATTTGATCATCTACGGCACAAAACGTATTCCTAAGGTAGTTTGAAATCATAATTTTAGTTTGGCGAAATTCATACTACCCAACAACATTTAGCCATTTATACAACAAAGTTATGTTTAAGAATATAACCCTGAAAAAATTATTTGAATTTCAGAATAATTTTTCCCAACACTTCAATTAAATTCAAGTTAAATAAGAAAGTTACGCACTGGTTTTAGTAGTTAAATTCAATTCTTTATACCAACAGGGCAAGTAAAATCCACAAATCGATATTATTTTAATGATTTTTTTGAAAAAATGATTGAATGTGTTTTTATAATTGGAATTATTAAAGATTAGGTATCATCAAGTAGGTTTCCTAAGCTGCTCTAACCTATTATGAGACCAGTGGGCTGCTAGTAACTAATTAAAATATTAAATTTTTTAACTGTAAAATACCTCATACGACAAACATTTATATTTTTGAAATACCTTAAGACAAATTATCTAATATTTAAAAACATAAAACGATAATTCCATAAGCTTATCATTTATGATTCATTGATCTACTTACGTTAAATGATTCTAAAGAACTTCTCCGTAAATTATCGAGAGATAATTTGATCTAGTTATGTTTTTAAATTATTTAATTAAGTATTGTCTGTTTAAAAACAAGAGAAAATTAAAAACATCTAGCTTAGATGAAACTTTATTTCAATAACTAAAAACTTTGACATATTATTTTTTTATCAAAAATAATAATAACAATTATAATAGTACTTGAAAAAGTTTGAAAACTTTTCCAAGTACTATTATAATGCGCCATAATTAACCATATTATTCTTGATGTGACATATCTGATTAGGGGCTTGAACTTGGTTAAAATGTACTACCGATTCACACACTTTTATCCCTAAAATTATGAGCAAAGTTGTTGCAATCGGATGTTCATTTGCAGTATCATAAAGTTCGTATGATTTATTCCACAAGTAGGAACTGCAAATGTTGATTGATTTTACAACTGTTTGTTTCATCGTTGAATACAATTTCGATACTTCAGTTTTTACTCGATTGACATAATTATGTGCCGAGAGCATAAATATCGAATTCATTGGGTCACGTGGTGTTTTCGACAGTACTAATAAAAAGTTGGGCTTCATGACTTTGACCATAGAATCATTGCATTTAGTGTTATTGGGCTCGTGAAATACTAATATCGTCTTTAGCTCTGCGCCTAAACTACTTTTTCTCCAAGCCTTTACAGGTAAAGACATAATGATAGCTTCGGGTAGAGTACTAACGGTTCGAAATTTGGAGGGTCGTTTTCCTAATAAGTAGGAAACCACGTCGTACATTGGGCACCCAAACATCATGAACTTATTATTGACATAATTTAATGCTGGTAAGGTGTGCGCACCAATCTGAAATACCGTATAATACTTAAAATCTCCTAACGATTTCGTCGTAAGCCCATAGCCGAGTAATGTTTGTACAATTTGTGTCTGTTTAGCAGGTGTCAAAAAGCGTAAAGCCGTTTCAGGTTCGTCGTACCATTTAAACAGATGCTTAAATATTTCCATCTCGGGTAATGTGTTTGTCGAGTCCGATTTACATTGAGCTTTCAAGTAGGCGAAATAGGGTATCTTGTGTGCATCATTTAAAAATGATTTCTTGAGGAGTCTTCCGTTATGATCGATATAGTACGAAGGAAAAACTCCTCGATGTTCCTCACTTGTGATACTTGACTGAGCACGAGATATAAGTAAAGTTAGTTGCATCTCCAACGCATATAAGTCATAATTAAGAAACTCGGCTGTCATGTTATTTAGTAACATTATTAAACGTCGTATTAATGTAAAAAAATATATTCACGCACAACTCATAAATAAATATTAAAACTAAAATAAACAATTTAAAAATAATAAACATTAATAGTTGTTTAATCACACGGTAACGGTTGAAAAAATATCAACTGATATCATTTGATCAAAATGCCTATGCAAAATGTGAATTACTTATTGACCCTGTAATTTATCATTATAATTGATTGTAAAATCATTTTACACGACGCTATCCATTAAAAATTGGCTGCAAGTTGAAATTTTATAAAACCTTATAATTAAACATAAATTATTGAATTTTTATTTAAATATTTTTATAACAAAATTTTTCATTAGTTTTTCATCAAAGGCGCTACAAAATCAAATTAAATGTTGTACAATTTGTTGTTAAAAATAACCTTTTTCATTTTCCCATTTTTTATTGTACTTCATATGGTAATGTTTTTTTGGCGTAACCTCAACAAAAAATTCAATCTTCAGTATAGTTTGTTTACAATTATAATAATGATAGAAATCATAATTTTGAAGAAACACCGTTAAATAAATGTATGAAACTTACACGTGCAACGTTACAAATCAATAGTAAGAAGTCCAATAATAACAATACTTTATTTCTATCACGAGAATACTCTATTAAACTTTGATTTTGGAAATCGATATCAAATTTTTTTTATAATTATCTTAAAAAAAACTTAATATGATGTTTGATGTTTTTTAACCGTTCATTGGTCATTTGAACAGACGAAAACAAAGAAGGAGGAGACGCGAAAAACGTGTTGCCAAAACAAAGGGGAAAAATAAAGAAATATATTTCTCACCTAGTATATTAGTATAATTTCATTTTTGGACGATACCACAAAGAAGTAATGTTTTTTTATTGATCCCAATAATTTATCTACTGCAATGTACTTTAGCATTTATTCACTCTCTCCCGGTGACCAACTCTTTTACACTTCAGACGCTGCGATAATATTCGCTGGTGTTATCGCTAACAAGGGGAACCTCTTGACCAGTAGATATTATTACGCAGATAGTCTTAGAGCGCAGCGATGACGACGAGCGCTCGGTATACAATAGACATGTCGGTAGGTATAGAACATTATACATTTTATATTTCGCTGAGCGCAAAGACCTTGACTACGGCAGTGTACAGTACACGACCAGGAAACACCGAGTGCATATTATTATGTAGAGAATAATGGACGGACGTACACGAACTATCGCGGCGGCATCTGAATTTTGCGGAGTCGCCCCGCCACCAGAATTACAGCCTACTCCATACATTATTATATTGCAACCATAGTGAAATAGCGATTTCGTAGCTGCGTAGTGCGGCCGCTCGCCAAGTATCATACGAGAGAGCCCAAATCTCGACACGACAACTAGTTATGTACGTTGTCGGATTGATAATTCCGTACACATGTGCGGCCGCATCATAACCGTGTGATAGTTAACTGCCATTATTTGACGCAACAATTATTATTTTAAATACAACAGACACACGTGGCTTTTCGAGGTGTTAGTACTGAATTACATTTACCATAATCATTAAGTGCATTTGTCTTTAGAAAACATATCGAATAATATTTAAGTAATCAATAGGAAAATCTGAGCACAAAACATATTGTTATCGACAACAGTAATTCAGTGCACTCGTGACTTGTTCAAATAAAATTCCTACCAAAATAAAGCGTTAATGTTCTTACAAATTTAATTCAAACGCGAGAAGGAGTTAATAAAAATAGTCATCATAATTGGAATTTTCCAATATTTGTAATGAAATATGTCTAAAATAACGATAAAAACTTCTTCCAGTAAAACCATTTAATTTGCCGTCACATTACATAAAGTTCTACAATTGTTTTTTTCGGTGTCAGATTTTTGTAATGATTCGAAATATATTTTAATATTTTTCAAAATATACTTTTAGACGCGCGAAAATATATCATTAAGTTGATACGAAAATGTTAAGAAAAAATCGTTTTTCATTATTTAGTAATATCCAGAAGTGTCGTGCATATCTCAAATGTTTAAAAAGCGCGTTAGTTAATGAGTTTTTCTAAAGGATTTTATTTTGAAAAAGATCTGAAGTTTATTATACTAATGAAAACGAAAAATACTAGTGAAATTGTTAACATAAATGGCTCATTATAATTAAAATAAACCTAATCGAAAGACGTAAAGCTGTATGAAATACATACATATTGATTTTAATGTTATTTATTGGTTAATTTGATTTATTTATTATTCTAACAACAAAATCACTATCTTATATCGTTCGAGTGTAGTATTCTCGTTTAAAATTATATACATAACTTCTGTTTTATATTAATTCAATGGTGGTAAAACATTTTTATGCCAAAAACCTTTTGTGAAATTTTAAAATTTTTTCTATCTATAGGCATTACATTGAGAATTACATTTTTTTATTAGGTATTCAGGTACGCTGTAGTTTGTAAAGAGTTAAAAATAGTACACATTAAAATTTGACTATAATATTACACTTTGTATAGAATATCATATGGAGACCTCGTGATAATATTATTTATATATACTTCAATAAAACACCTCTGTTGCTTAAAACAGTATTTTCATAACGATACTGTTTACAAGAACTCACAAAACTTTTACCGAAAGAAAACACATTTCATTGCACAAGACCGCACTGCAACTTTCATTAACTTACAATGGCGTATAATAAGACGATAGACCTTAATTAAGTTTTAATAGTACCAGTAGGTTTAAAAAAGTTTTATTTTACAGTCAGCAGGTTTAACATAATTCGTAGTAACCTATTGCAAAGTATAAACTCACAAGAGCGTAAAATATGGTAACAAAATATAAACCGTGTAGTTTTTCTTCATTAATAGGAATTTTGATGCATTCATTTTTAACGGCATTGAAACGCGTACAAAGATGACGTGTACATTTGCATAAACTTGCCAATTTTTTTTTATAGTTAACCTGCAAAACACTATCATGCAATACCAATAGGCTATAGATGACCAACGTGTATGCATAGTTTTCTACAATAAAAGAAGTCCACTTGTTTAACTAGTTTCGACTATTTTACATTTTACATTAGCACTGATCCATAATTTGACATTTGCATTTCCTCAGCATAAAGTACACGATCTTCTGTTGATGAAATAAGAAGATTATGCGCATAGAATTTTATCCAATTAGTAATTTGCGAAGAAAAAAAAAAATTATTTTGCATTCGAGTTATTTAATTTTAACTCAATGCTCAAAACCAACGAGTTGAAAGAACATATTTTGAAATAGAATTTTTGTCCATTAACATTTATTTAACGCGTTGGTATTTAAAGTTAAATGATCGTTCATGAGAACGATTAACAGTTGCTATAAAAACAAATTAATTTAGGCATCGATAAAAATAGAGAGGAAAAAATAACTCCTTTCGCTCAAAGTATTAGACAAGCTATTTCACAAATAAACAGAGTATGATTTTTTTTTTTTTAAGATTTTCTCTCATAAAAACAGCCAAACGGAAATCCTTTTTGTCTGTGTTTTGTTAGCAGGAAACGCCGAAGCTGGTCGGGATAGATAAACGGAAGACTGTTTTCCGTAGAAAATCGATTTAGAAAAAGTCTGCAATTCAATTGTGTAAAACCAAACCAACGAGATGTCATATACCCGTTTGTTTGTGCAGCTATTCCGAACCAATCGGCTAAATCAACTTGACTAATGAATTGCGATTTAATTTTGTGGATTTAACGATTAATAGTTTAGATCAACATGAATACGTTTGTTGTAGTGAACAATAGCCGAAGATTTTCGATACAAAGTTTCAAATACGTTACGTTTCCATGAAATTTAAAGCGGACAGGTAACAGACAAAAGTCGCACATAGACATTCATTGTTCGCAGCCAACAGTGACGGTTGTATTCTATCGGCCGCCAAAACAAATGAGCTGCACACACTTGCGTTTCAGTGGCAAATAATGACGACGATATAGTAATAATAACTATAATTACAGCGGTATAATGTGAAAACGGTGCGTTGCACAATGCGCCGAAATCACCTGTTTGCGAAATTTTTGCATATATGCGACCGGTTTTGGGCAGGCTGAGTGGAGGCGAGTACGAAAGCTGTGGCGGCAACATACACGCATAGGCAAAGTGGGTGCGGGCGCCGAGGGCAGAGCCCTCGCCGCCGAAGGTTCGTCTGGTCCCCCACCCGTGACGATCTCCTCGTTGTAGTCTGGCCGCCAGTGGCTCCTCACCGCCGCTTGTACCCCCGGGGGACGACGGCGTGCGCGCGACGTTGTCAGTTCGGGCGGACCGCAGCCGCGGCGTTCTTGCGCGCGCCTTTTAACACCGCCCGGCAGGTTTGTTTTTTGGCGCCGGTGTGAGGTAGTCAGCGTTCTTAGTGCTCACAGTCACTCGATCAGTCGACCGGCAAAGTCATCGGAGGCCGGTTGAACTCCTGTCGAAAGCGCGTGATCATTCAATCACACGTATCTATACACGCAAAAAACACACTAAATCAAATACTCGCCGGTTTTGCGAGCGAATCAACCAAAATAATTTGCAGAGTAAAAAATAATTCTAATTAACGAACGCGGTTGTAAAAAAATTTCTGTCGCTGCGATCAGTGTCCGCCAAATTCGCCGACGTCGCGTCAGATCGGTTTGTGTGTACACATTTTAGATTAATTTTTTTTGTTTTTTTTTTTTTTTTGTGCGCGTTTTCCTTTACCAGTTCGAGTGCCGCCGCCGCCGCTACCGCCACCGTGTTACACACACACTACAGGCGCCGCAATGAGTTCGTTTAGCTAAGGTACGAAATGAACACTAAATTACTTTTTTATACTTTGTGTTAATTTTAGCGAGTGTGTTTTAAGTTATGATTTTTATTTTTAATCAAAGAGCCCGACTCCTCGACTGCACATTTCGATACTCTCCAATCGTGAAAACTTAATTTTCATGTTCAACATTAACATCTAGTGCAGCACTATCATTTTAATAGCTTCAAGTGCTGCACTAGTAGACTTTGAAAGCTTTACAGACACTGCACATTATCGAGACGAGTTGCATGAATGACGGCTAAACATTTTGGCGATGAAATAATAATCGCCGCATTTTTTATTAATTTCAGTACGGATGTTGCATTATTCGAAATTTAACGTTCTATTTAGTTATGAGTTGCTATATTGTGGTGGTACATGAGAAATGTCGATGAAATCGGCGGCTGCCATCAGTAGACAACTACGCGTACCTCGACAAAGTTCTCCCGTAGAGCAATGCGCCGATAGCCTGTGGGACGAGCGAACGATCCGAATGCGGTCGACCTATGCACATTGGTGTGTTTGAATTGCATACGCATCGCGCCCGTTTACAATGGAACAAAGGAGCGGTCTTAGCCTCGCCTAATGCGGTTCGCGTTGTACAGTACCAAAGCACGCGCTTTATCAGTCATTAATTGTATCAAATTTTGTTAAAAAAAATTATAACGACAGTGTATCACAATCGCGTGCACTTTGTATATACTACGGCGTTGTTCGAGTAGAAATATTACTCGACTCGTTATCAAGACGTTTTGTCTACTCATAAGACGCGTCTACCGGCCTAGCCCAAAGTAAACGAGGTTAACCGAACAATCTTTATCTGTAGTCGCAACGCATAGTAATTGTAGATAATTTAAAGTCTACTGATGAGTGTCTTTATTTTTTACTGTAATATTTAAATGAACGTGTGCTTTAATTTGTATTTCGTCTCACTCGTGCTACACAAACTTTTTTTTTTTTTTAACACTTTTTTCGTGCATTTGAAATTTTAATTGTTTTAACATCGTAGAGTATTTAATCTGTCTTATGAAAAACATGTTCGGCGACAAAAAAAAGTATCGTTGCTCATATTTTTTTGTATGTTTCTGTTTTGTGCGTAAAAACATTTACAAACTGAAATCGGTTTGATTTTTACTTATTCCCAATAATTCTTTGGTTCGCAACGAGGTGATTATTTTTTTACGCGTTACGTTTTATTATTTTTCAATATAGACCTGACCGTAAAAGAAAAATTGTCTCAAACGAAAAGAATTACTGGGAATAAGTAGAAATCAAATTGATTTTAGTTCAAAGAAAAACATCAATAAACCGTTTCGGAAGCAAATGTTTTTCCTCGTGTTTATACATGTGTTTATTCACAATAATTAAGTCAATTAAACAAAGAGCTAGTCGTTATTCGTTTTTATTATACTATATAAATAATTTAATGGGTTTAGCAAAGTTCAACTTGTTTGGTATGAATTTTAATTTTTGTCTTTTTCACTAAAATTATTTTTCATTTTTAAATTTAACGACTGTCGTAGAAATAATTTTCGTTTATTGCAAGTTTTCGAGGTGAATGTTCGACGTAACACATAAATTTTTTTAGGCTTGTTCATGCAGTGTTATTTAAAATATTCGTACGCAAAAATAAGACAACCGCGAATCGGCTAAAAACCGGTTTATTGGTGAAAAGATCCGCCTCAAGGTGTTTTTTGCACGCTTAGTCTAGCAGTGGGATGGCTCTTAACAAATAGTCGAGTATTTTTGGAATGGCACTAGGTAGCTTATTGGTATACTCTGTGTTTTCATAGCTATACTTTTAAGTCAGCTGCCCATGCGTTTTATTTGGATAGCGTGTAGTTTTTATTAAACATTGAAATAGTTGAAGTTTTTTGCAACAGAGGCCGTTTTGTACTGTACGGTTAAGTAGAATTTTCAATTTCCTCTTCGCCGGAAGTGCGCCGCAATTTGACCATCTAAACGGAAACGACGAAATAATTTCTGAGTGTACGTAGACGGACATAAATTGGAAGTAATGGATTAGGCGATCGTCTAACGGTAATTGTCGATCAAGATCTCGCACAGGATAAAGTAGCAACAGATTGATTTAGTTTGAACACAAATCGTTAATTTCGCATGAATATTGATACAAGTGTTTTTTATTTGAATAAGACGCGCGAATTGTCTGCTTTGCGGCGGCTTTGAGTATTTTTGGGATAGGTCATGCGCGTCTAGTGCTGTGCGCTTGCGTTTGCCGCAGCTGTGTAAAGCATATATAGTATATACCGAGTCCACTGACCCCGTGGCGTTTGTTTTGTTTGTGCAGGCTGTCTCAGACATGGGAAGCGAGCACTACTGTCTACGGTGGAACAATCATCAGAACAACTTGTTGGGCGTATTCAGTCAACTGCTCCAAGAAGAGTCCCTCGTGGACGTGACTCTTGCCTGTTCGGAAGAAGGTCGCTTGATCCGCGCACACAAAGTAGTGTTGTCTGCTTGTAGCGCTTACTTTAAGGCACTGTTCTTAGACCATCCGACTCGGCATCCTATTGTAGTGCTCAAAGACGTCCAGTTTGCCGAACTACGTGACCTTGTCGAGTTTATGTACCGGGGCGAAGTGAACGTTGAACACAGACAATTGTCCACGCTGTTGAAGACGGCTGAGAGCCTCAAGGTAAAGGGGCTGGCCGACATGGCTCGCCCCAGCGACACAGACGACACCGTAGGCGATCACGTTGAAATGATGCCGGCCGACCGTGACGACGAACCCCAAGACCTGAGGCCTAGGAGAAGCAGGTGCCGGACACCGGTACAGCCAGAAAGCCGAACACCGTCTCCTCCTCCCACCGAAAGCGACGACAACTTGTCCATGCAAAGCGAACCTAGCGATATGACCGTCGACCGAAAAGAGCGTACAGCTTCTCCTCCCGGTCTCGATTTAACACAAGTTCAGCAAGTACCATTAGTAAGTAAATCATTTTTTTATCATTTTTTATTTATAATTTATACCAAAAAGACTCGAACGTAATAATTATTAGTTATCTCAAATAAAATGTTCGTGTGATTAAAATATAAACGGAACATTGTAATCTGCTAAATAGTAGACACTTTACTTCAACAATTAAATTAATTCTAATATTACATGAATATATATATATATTTCTGTATTTATTACTAAAGAAAAAAAGAAATTACTGTTGTGAATTTGTTAAAAAAGAAGTATATTGTTATAGAAATTATAGCTTATAATACTAAAATCAATAGATATAAAACGTACAAATATTAATGCTTTTCAACATCAGCTAAACATTTTGAAATCTAACTAATTTAATCTAAAAATGTAGTGTAAATTAAATTAGTTACATACATTTAAATTAATTAAGTTAAATTAAATTCCTTTTCATTATATTTTACTTGAACAATAAGTCAATTCAAAAGTAAAAAAACTGCGCTCGTACAAAGACTATTTAATTTCGAGTAAACATTTAATAACAAATAGCTAAGTTATTTTTTTTTTTTAATATAAGTTAGTCTACAGTATTCAGTTAATATTTCACACTGATAGTGTTAAACTAGTCAAAAATATCCTAATTAGTGAACTAAAATTTTGTTTTGGAATTACAATAAAAACACATTAACTCTTAATTTTTATTCATAATAATTTTATTTATTACACAGTAATTTTATTTTATAAAATTAGGTACGCCAATTTTTTACTGTAGAAAAACTTTTGGAACTTTTATAAACATTTTTGACAACAATTAAATCAACTTTAACAATTTTCATTTGATTTTATTCAAAATACCAATGACGTGCCACAATTAATTGGCGAATATTGAATACAAATCAAACTTTTGATAGCGATTATAAAATATCCTAAAGAATTAATGTATATATTATTAGGAAAAAAAATGACTGATGTTATCTAATAACAAGAACGTCATTTCGTTAGACATTGATTTATGAAGCAGGGACTTAATTTGAGTGATTCATTAAACTTTAAGCATTTTTTTGAAAAATTACTTCTTTATGTAGATGTACATTATTATATAAAAAAAATTGCCCACTTAATCACCATTGACGCTCGTGTAAAATATTCTAATAAAACGATGGTTAGTAATAACACTGACATCTATTAAATCACAGAATCTAATTATTAGCGGAAAATATAATGTTATCAATTTAATAATAATTTTATCAATTAACACGTTTCACATAGATTAGTATTAGATTTTCCATTCTTAATAATTTTCATTGTAAATAATGTGTCTAAGTAAAAGAAAATGAATGTGTTTTAACTAACCAGAGCGTTTGCCAATTAATATATCAACATATATTTTCCGTCGGGCTTTTTTCCAAACTTTTTAAAAATAATTTTATAATTTATAAAAACCTTCCTTGTCTAACACTTATATTATTAAACCAACCATTATTAATCGCCAATTATTTTTGGAAATGACTATTTTATTTATAAATAATGTGTAAAAATAGGCTAAACATCTAAGAACATTATTTTCCAATCGGTTTAACGCATCTAGTCTTATAAACAGATATAAATTATACGTCTTTATAAAAAAAGATTTTATTGAGCACGTGTTTTCTAAAAAAAAAAAAAAAAGAGATTGCATTGTGTGTGTATTAACAAAAATAACTTTATATACTATAACAAGAATAATTGAAAAATAATAATAAAAAAAATGTTTGCCAAATCGCACAACCAATCAAATAATTTACTGGGAAATTTAAAATTCCTAGAAAAAACATAAGCAAATCACTTATTTCAAAACAATAAATTTAAAAGCTTCAATAAATTGGTCGAGATTAAATAAATATTTAATTGTCAGTTGTTGGGGTGGATATAATTTCTTATTTAAAACTTAGTTTCGGCTTTATTAACCTTAATTTAAATAAAACGTGTAATAATAATTTATACACGTAATGCCTACACTATGAGAAATAATTCAATAATTGCCATACTTCAGTATGATATTCACAAAAATAATATTTTTATCACTAGTGACAAACATTTTCTCTTACACACTATGCGTTTAAAACTCCTGTACATGTATGTGAAAATTCGGAGATATTTTTTTAAGAGTGTATTCAATTCTTTGAACGTTCATCAAGAACGTTTTACATTTAAAGTGTACACATTTGTTTCTTCTTTCGTGTTTTAGTAGTGTCGTCAAAAGTTTATTGGCACAGAAATTAACATAGTCGCTGCAAGATTTAACAAAATGTCTTACAGTTTTTGTAGTTTGTTGAAAATTTTAATTATATTCAGTATGAATTGAAGTAGGAGGCAAAGTTTAATTTTTACAAAATAAAATAACTGTTTTTTTTTGGACAATTTTTTAAAATACATGTTTTTCTCTATTTTAATCTAAATGATTGAGCAACGAACATGATGAACTTATTATAATAATAATTCGATAACCGTTGGTTAATATTGTTCATTAAAAAAATTTCAAATAGTGAATTCGTTTTACATTGAGTTAGGTTATGTTATCTAAACATTTTTTATTAAAGTCCAATTAATTTAGTCGTTAATAAATAAAAACCACAAAAAAAGTATTTATTATTATTATATAATCTGTTCTGTAATCACACTAATGTCAAAGTTCATTAATAAGTTTTTTGTGCATATTGTTTTTGAGAAATGAAAACTAAAAAACAGTATTCAACTTTAAAATTTCAATTATACATTTTTAGTAGATGGTAGAATTACTTAAATTTAATCCTGGTCAAATAATTATTGTAATTTAGATAGATTTATTATTCATAATATATTATTTTCATTTATATTTATAAATGAACGGTATTTTAAATAAACAAAAAGAATATTTTGATCTAAAACGTCGTCGCTTTTAAAAATATAGAAAATCTAATTGAAATTTACTTGGCGTATTTGATGTTATTTATTTTAACAATCGGCGACCTTTACACACGTAGAGATGAGTTAAGTTTTGCGTTGTCCGAAACATCGCAGTCTCTAATAATAAGCATATAACGGTAGTATTTTTTATTTTTCCAGACTTAAAACTGTTCCAATCGCTATTTTTTAAATATTTCTATGTAACTTTTAACCGAAACGTGTATAGACCACAGTAACATCAAACTAAACATTTAAGTATTTTTGTCTATAATGTCTGTGTTATTTGACGTTGCTTTTAACGTTATTATTTTGCTCGCCAACCGTTATATTATGGCCTTTACATGCCTTTAACTAACCACTGAGCCGAATGTTATTGGCCTTCCAAGTATAACAACCGTAGTAGTTATTGTCGTTCAGCTTATAATCCTTAAGGTTCTTTGGGTGAGTCTTTTCTAAAATACTTGGTCTAGAATGACCGTAAATCGTAGGTAAACTGTTTCACAATTTCCTTCAATCCTTGTAACTTATCTTAACAAATCTTTGTTATTATGATCATGATTATACAAAAAAAAACATTTTTTTATAAGATCGCATTATAAGTTTAAGTATCCTACATCTTATGAAATATTTTGTTATTTCAATTAAAACTCCGGTAGTACTCGGAATATCTATGCACAAATGCACTCTTAAAAAATATGTCCGAATTTTCGCTTGAAGTTTTTAACGCATACAATGTTAGGGGAAATTGTGAAAAAATAGTGATGTTATATGTGTGTACGAATTTTCTATACTTTATGACAAAATTACAATACTTGTGTGTGAAAGTAATGTGTATGTTAAAAGTATCACGCACAGTGGTCTAAAAAACAAGTCAGCAGGCCAAAACTATTATTTTTAATTATTTCATAATAATTTAGGTACACTCGACAACTTTTGCACTGTTTCTAAATAATAATTTTTAAAATAAGAAACATCTATCGAGTAGCGTTTATATAGAAATATATTACGATATACTTGAAATAATTAAAAATGCCATATAATTAAAAAAAATATTAACAAAAACTTACCAACCAACTGATAAACCATTTAAAAATTTGTAAGAACACAATTTAAAAATAAAAGTAACACAATATAACAACAGAAATTACTATATTTATTCACCTAAATAAACATTATATTAATATAATATATAAATACTATATTTGATGTATAAATATAAAATTCACGATTATATATAAGTAAAAAATGTTCGTATTAATATGAGAGGGCAAAAACAATAATTATAACGAACATTTTAGAACAAATGCGTAACGATTCAAAAGCCAATTGCAAAAGAATAGTTACGTTTTTTTCTCATCTTTATGTAAACATAATTTAGTATTAGAATAGGTATACAATTATGCAAGGGAAAAAGCTCTTCTTAGTAGAAAAATATTACATGTAAAAAAATTGTAAATTTTACAGAACTTGAAAAATAAATAAAACAATTATAGGGAAATCATTTAAAATATTATATAAAAATTAGGAATATGTTATGTAATAGCTTTACGTTGAGGAAAATTTGACTTAAAGGTTTTTGAAATTTAATATTTGTTATGCAATTTCAATTTTATTATTATTATTATTATTATATTATAATAAATATATTTTCTATAACGTTAAACTGAATGGTCTTAAATATTACAGTTATGTAATTTCAAAGTAAATTTAACGAAATTGATTTTATTCTCATTCGTAAATAGGTAAATGACAATTATATACTAAAAATGAATATAACGAGTTATCCCAATCAATACAACAAACGTTTATGTATTTACTTGATATTTTAGTTAAATTTTCATTCTGCTTGTTATTGGATGTTTAATTAATTTGTATTTAATTATTATTTATAAATGCAGTTAAATACAACTTGTTTCTTTTTGTTTTTAATCAACGGATTTTATTAGAACTTTATCATTATTTATATGTTTATAATGTAAATAATTGTACATGGTTTTAATAATTACAAGGAAATATGTCATTATTTAAAATATATTTAAAGAAAATTTTTTATTATGTTATAGTTCTTGAAAAAAGAAGCTGACTGTGACAAGACTGACGACAAAAGCACTCAGGGCGAAAGTTCATCAGAGTATCGAAACATACCTGACCCGGTGAGCAAATGTCAAAGTATACTTACAAAACTATGGTATTACTTTGAGTATTTTTTTTTTATTATCAAAGACTGTATCATACTCTTGTAAAAATTATTACTTTATGTAACTGTACCCAAGCCAGTGTAGTTCAATTAAAAATGTTTTATAATGAGACTTCACGTAACCAATAGACAAACCAAAAGATAAATAAATTATTTTCAGCTTTTACAATATTTAATCGTAAATTATATTTTAGAATTTTGCTAGTAACGAAAATTTGCATAAAGTGCAGCCTCAAGAAGTTGACTTCAAAAATAAATATCATAAAAGCAATGTATTTGGGACGGTTAAAAATATTTTAAACGATTCGGTTCACATTTAGTTTTTACTGATTTTTTGCTAAAAAATATAACGATGTAAATGTTTACATGGTTTTATTTATTTGGCATAATATCTAGTTTTAAATGAACTGCTGATTGACGTCTTTTGCGTGATTTTCACTACCCTTGCCACTCTAATGTCAATGGCCTTAGCTGTATAAGGTATTCCGAGGTTAAATTTAAAAAAAAAAAATGTAATAGTTAAACTCAAAAATTGCATAGATTAATAATATTTCAAAATAAATCTACTTAAATTTGCTATGCGGCATTCAAACAAAAAGCAGTTTTTACAAGGTTTGCAATCATTATCATCTCTGTACATTAATAAATATATATATATATATATACAGGATGATTCACTTATCATGAACCAATTAGAAAAATCGAAAAAATTAAAATAATATTAATCATTTTTTTATTTCTTTCTTTTAGTTTAATGTCTCTCTCAATTGTTAAATCATAATGTTTTTTTTTCATGTTAATCGCTTATACCTTATAAGGATGTCAACTTTAATTTCTCAAATGTCAATCACTAATTAACTAGCTTATTAAGCTTATTAGCTTATGTATAGATTGGAGGCGGAGAGTGGCCGCTGTTATTTGTATAACTCATAACATATCCCGGCAGTATTCTTCCTCTCATCTAGACATCTCTTCCTTTCAACTTCCGAAAACTGGTCCAAAAGTTGTTATCGTTCAGTAATTTTCTTAATTAGATAATTATCTATTAAATAACCTAGTTAATGATTACTATTTGAGAAATTAAAATTGACACACTTATAAGGCGTAAGGGATGAACATAAAAAAAACTTAATGATTGAAAAATTGAGAGAAATATTGATCTGAAATAAAAAAATTGCTAATATTATTTTTATTTTTTGATTAATTAAATAGTTCATGATAAGTGAATCACTCTGTGTGTATATCAGTAGCGATTTTATATTGATTAATAAACGCAGTTCCATTGATATTATCAAGAACATATTATTCATTTCAATGCAACCTGTAGACAAAAATTAGTCAACTGGCTGCAATGAGTGCGCGTTCGTGAAAAAGTTTTGAAGAACTTAAAACGATGAAAAAAATTGTCATGAATAAAATCTCTCTTCATACTTTTGGCCGACACGTTTATTGAGTCGCATTCTATTATTAAAAAGTTTCATAGATTCGGTTATGACAATTCGAATAATTAATTGTCATTTGTCTGGAAATTTTGTTGAACGAAATCCAATTTTAATGACCCTCCTTATCGACTTTGTTCATACCACTGTTAACATCGAGTATAAATTATTTAAATTTTTTTTCAGTGTGTTATATTAATATATATTTTTATTTCAACCGCAATATATTAATTATTTTAACGGCATATATTTTATAGAGCCGCCTGTAGCCAAACAAAAACAAAAGCAGTTAAAAAAACGTCAACTTCTTGTGCTGACACTTTTGCACCCGTTTACACGTGACAGTTTTACTCATTTTTTTCATTTTCTTTATTACTCGATCAATGGCACCTACAGCGAAAAGAAGTTGATAGTTTTTTTTTTTTTTGTTTTTGTTTGGGTTACAGGACAAATCGGACACTGCGTTACCAAAGTTCTACACTTGCGTTTACTGCAGTCTCACGTTTCCACACCAAAGCAAACTAACGCGGCACATCCTGTCGCATAGTCTGGAAAATCAGCCGAAACCGCCGTTTGCGTCGTTAGGGGACCCTGGCGGGGGCCCGTCGACGTCAGCGTACATTGCGGACGATTGTGGCACGCTGTGCAAATTTTGCGGCAAAACGTTCCCGGACGTGGCCTCGCTAGTGGGCCATCTACCCACTCACACCGGCGACAGGCCGTTCAAATGCGAGTTCTGCGGCAAGGCGTTCAAACTGCGACACCACATGAAAGACCACTGTCGGGTGCACACCGGCGAGCGACCGTTCCGTTGCTCGTTGTGCGGCAAGACTTTCTCTCGGTCCACCATACTCAAGGCTCACGAAAAGACGCATTATCCTAAATTCTCGGGCCGGCATCGATTCGTATCGTCGCCCAGTCCCGAAGAGGAACCCGGAGGACCTCCGTCGACGGCCAGACCGTTCGACCTGACCGTCATTCGACAGTACAGGCCACGCAGGACGTCACCTTCGCCGTCGCCTCCTTGACGGCTGTTATTGTTTCCCTATAGGGTATAGTAGATTACTGCAGCCCGACGCAAACATTACCAATTGAAAAAAAAAAAAGTTTTCCTCAATACTAGTTGATATACTTTTTATTGTCATTTCTCACACTTGAATTGTCCTAGCCGATCTTTTAAAATTGCGAGTTCTTTCGCCCGTTGGTATAGTTGTGGTGCATAAAGTCATACAGGCGAGTCATAGAGGCGTCACCTCTATAATCGGACATTAATAATTTGCTAAAGGTCCGTTTTAATACAAGGCCTTGTTCTTCTCTCTCTTACTACGAGGCCTTGACTCTTAATGCCATTTAAGTTTTGGCTTCGTCGACCGAATTACGTAATCGCCAACGTATTTCGCATTGGCCAATGTGATTGAAATTGTGATTCGTATTCGAGCGCCTTTAATATTGAACGACATAAGATAAAAGATCTAACCGCACGCCTAGGGCGTTGTGTCTATGAATGAAAACAATATAGGCGTGTTTAACATATTACTCGGTATCATTACAATAATATTTGTGTCGGTTCGGGTTAATCACATTGTTCGTCTAGTTGGACTAGTTCGATTTCAACTGCCAATCGAGTTGGAAAATGAGCTCCGAAATTGCACAATTTTAATTTGTTCGCCGTTGATATCATTAAGTGTTTATCTGCTAGTTGTATTCTAATTTTTTTTTTTTTCTAAACGTGTCTCATCGATTTCTGATACTCCGCTGGTTTTTCCTTGTAATTAGTCGTTTCCCGTTAAACGATTATGTTTTAAGAACAGACGCTAGAAAATCATCTTTATTAATATAATATCTCATGGTTTTTTATTTCTCAGCTGTGCAGTATCTATTACAACGAGTAATAATATTTCAGTGGCGGCGGGTGTTGTTTTTTGTTTTCTTAATTTTTAGTTAAATACAACATATATGATACATTTGTGTTATTTATTAAAAAAAAAAAATTATTATTATTTTTAACTATCATAAGGTAATTGAGTTATTATCGAGCACAAGATTTATCCTAGTATAAATAATAAAACTAGGAATTTTTTTTTTGGCTAATTCGAGTAGTGTTTATTTTAGATTTATAAGTGGTTCAATACTTTTTAGGTTCATCTTTTATCCCCTATGAGGGCAACAACTTAATTTTTTTTTCATGGCAACATTCGTATTTAACTATCTCATATAATAGAAAATTACTTGTCGGTAATAACTTTGAACTAGTAGTTTAGGAGTCATTAATATTTTTATACCCTTGTGAGAGAATTAACCCCATAGAAAAATTGATAATGATAAAAATAACATAATCCCCACCTCCAGTCTACATTTAAAAATATCTGTAACTTAAAAAATTGTTCAAAAGTTGTTATCGACTAATCATTTTCTAATATTTTATCTATTAAAATATGTATGTAAATATCAAAAAAAAAAAAGCTCTTACCTTAACAAGATATAAGGGATATACCTAAATAATATTTAACGATTATAAACGAGAAATAAATAATACTAAACGAATCAAAGAATTTATCTCAAAATTATTATTACTTTAGAAGAAAGTTGATGAATCAATTACTCATTATAACAATTTGATGAAGAATTTTATCGTTTAAATAATTATTTATTTAATTATTTTTGAATATTTGAACATTTTAGTTAAAATCGTTAGTTTTGTCACGTATTTGCCTTTTGGACTTATTTATTGATGTATATGTTTCATTAATTATTTTTGTGATGGTCTTATATTTTATTAACAACACTATAAAATAAATCAGGCGGTTTAAAAAAAGTCTAGTTGAGGATTTTCAGTGTTTTACTCGAGTTTATGCTTTAGTCTAGAAAATCTTCCCTCTAGATATTTTATAGTAAAGTAAAGAAATATCATAGTAGTCTATAATATTATAGACGACCATATAATATTATACACTTGTAAACACAAGTTACTCATACCATCACTAATAGCTCATTTACTGTGCACGTGCAACATCATAAAATTTAAGTATAATACTTAAAAAAATGAAAAATGATCAAAGACTTTTTATGCACCATGTATACCATATTTAAACGCACACCACACTTAGCCTACGCAAAGTTTCTTTTCAGACATTGCCAGTCAGTGTAAAAAATAATTTATGGACAACTAATCTCCGAGATAATTAAATTTAAAATCTTAAATCTATCAAACAATGAATTCAATTAGATTATATTTCTAAACGTCCACAATGTTCAGATATACGTTTTTTAAAATTTGTGATTTATATTTCTTGAGATTTTCTATTGCAACTTACGATGTAGTCAACCGATTTGTACATTAATTTACACGTATGATGATCAAACAGTTTTGTCAATTGTTTATTCTGTAATTTAATTTTAGCATTTTAAAGGTAATATTTATAAAGTTGTATTACGAATGTTTAAAAACGCGTTGGGTAAAAATGATGTTTTACGGCAAGAAGAATAATTTATGACGTTGGAACGAGATGTGATATTTTTTAGTTACACGGTTAGAATAGGTTATTATAATTTTGTAAAATGTAATAAATACTTGCTGATATTATTATCATTTAAACTAAAGAGTTTTCTGATATTTTTTTATTTGTAATTTACACATGTAAAAAACATCGCACGTATAATGTTTGGACGTGTACTTATCGTTTATGTAATTGTTCGTAATATTAAAAAAAATTAAATACAAACAAAATTTCATAGGATTCGATAGTTTAGTAATCTTAAAGAAAATGTCTACTAAAAAAATTATTTATATATTTGCAATGAAAAAATTGCCATCGCACTTTAGGCTTTTTAAATACTTTGTACCGTATAAAAATATGTAAAACTGTTTTTTTTTTATTTTCTATAAAAAATACCCAAGCTACCGCTCTAGATAGTAAAAAAAAAAACGGATAGTTAAGGCGATCGAGTTGGCGATAATTAGCGAATAATAATTGTAGTCGAGTACGTTACTCTTATTTGCCGACCTCGAGAGTATTGCAAATTTATATACGTTTCGATTGGACCAAACGAATAATGTAACGAATGACCTGAATAAAAAAATTGAAAAAACGAGCAGAACGGTAAAAACAAATTGCGGGCTAAATTTTAGAATAGGTCACGGCCGTTAATGGCTGTGGGTGTCATTAGAATTAAGACGATATAACTGTGATAGGCTATGTGTATTGTACGGAATTTAAAATGATTTGTGTTAGAAAAATAATTATATATTATGAAAAAAACACTCAAATATAATATGTATGTGTAAAGTTTTTTTATAAGTCAGAATGTTAACGTGGAGCTATATCCTTCGATGAAAAAAGTTTACTAAACAAACGTTCCGTCCGAACTAGTCCATTCTTTAGTTGAAGATTAACTGTATTTTTTTTTAACGGTTAACGATCAATGTTTTTTACATCTCGATCGCCGAAATCAACCGATTTTAGTTATTGTTTTTTTATTGTATTTGATATGTTTAACGGTGTCACAGAGGTAAACCACAATTAAAATAAGTTTACGCAGAAAAATATCTCTACATGTCTATAATTTGTTTTGTCTGTAAAATAACGGGGTCAAAATCATCAAGTCGATTTTCGTACAATCAATTAATTGATCGTTTCCTATATTCGTAAACTACAAGTGCAGTAGAATTAAAGTTTATTGTAGTAAAGTAAAATTCGAGAGACATACATATTATATTATCATTTTAGGATTGTAAATTATTAGCATAATTGTGATAATAAGACCAGTGAGATCGCCTATAATATTATAATATTTTTTTATTTTTAGGTGCTAATTACGTTATTTATATTTACTTTATTGTACTTTTAGTTTGATTATATATAAAGAATTTTTTTGTGCAATAAATCTATGTTATACAAATGTGAAATCACTCTTTGTCTATTTATTAGTAAAAAAAACTGATATGCTCATCGAATTCCTCTAGTGTTAAAAATTCAACAGTATCCGACACAGGATTACGAGTAAATCGAAATTATTATAATCTTATACTTTTTGATGTTGACAACAAATAATTAGATGTAATCTTTACTGACGACACGTTTATACTAAATAGGAAGTGTGTTTGGTGGAAGGCGTTTTCAACACTTTGGCTGCTTACAGGTCACATGTGTCTGTTTTACAACAAGGATTCTCTTCGGCGTTCAGCCGGTTTTCAGCGTCCTTGCCGCCTGTTTATAATCCCGGTAAATTTTTTTTTATTATTTATTCTGTATAAAATCAGCATAAATTTTTGATTCGTTTCCATGTTATGTCTTTAATTAAGCGCTATTAGTTTTTTTTTGCGTATTAATTATCACTCGTAATAATTTGATTTCACAGAAACATCCGTGTCGTTGTATTCGGTACTCCAACAACAAGGTTTGATTGGCCCATCCGTCAGCTCCAGCGACGAAGTGGCCAGCCGTTGTTTGATCAGGTGTGCCATTTGTTTGGCGGGTTTTCCATCCACGTGGTTGCTGGAACAGCACACTGCTCTTCAGCATACCGGACAACCGGTACGCGGTCATGGAGGCGATGGAGGTGACGAGAAACCGTTCCAGTGCGAACAATGTGGTCAAAATTACCGTTATCGATCGGCGTATCTAAAGCACCGCGAACAAAATCATCGGGCTCGTTTACCAGCCGATAAGTTATTCACGTGTGATATATGTGGAATGCAATTCAGGTGAGTATTGCCCGAAAAAAAACTATACGAATTTCAGTGAACGTTTTTGATTGTGATCGCACTGTTTCAGGTATCTCAAATCGTTCAAAAAACACCGACTGAACCATGCGCTAGAAAGGTTACATCGTGATGCGTCAGTGCTCGGAGGTGATGAGACTCGGGATTTGCCGGCCGCGACCACGCGAACAGCAGTTACTGCGGCCGATACCCAAGTGACCAGCACGAACGAAGTTGTGTCCGTTGAAGCGGCACAATCTTCGGTGGTCGTTACCCCAGAGACAAAGTCTGAAAGCAGTAAGGTACCATCAACGCCATCGTTATCGCCGCCGCCACCACCACCTCCACCGCCACCACCACCGCCGCCACCTACACCATTTTCACAGCCAACACCGTCATCGCCGTCCAGCGGGATGCTCAAACCAAACACGCAGCGTACGGCTGCGACGGTTGGATCAGGTGCCGTTACGCCAAACGGTAACAATACCAAGTCTTTCGCGTGTCCGTTTTGTGGTAAATGCGTACGGTCCAAAGAGAACCTGAAATTACACGTTCGCAAACATACTGGTGAACGGCCGTTCGCGTGCCTGTTCTGTGGACGCGCGTTCGGTGGCAAGAGCGACCTAACGAGGCATTTACGCATTCACACCGGCGAAAGGCCGTACCATTGTGAGATGTGCGGCAAGTGTTTCGCCAGAGCAGATTACCTGTCCAAACACTTGACTACGCACATACACAACAACCACCAACGTTGAACAATCAACATGGTAATGGTTCAAATGGTCTCTTCGGGTTATTATTATTATTTTTTTTATCTCTTAATCCTAATATTATAATCTATTTGTCGTTTTTCTCTCTTGACGTCACGCCACGTGACTGTTGGAAACGATTTTGGTTCCTTGGAAAGCTCAATTTTACGTTAATGTATTTGAACAAAGATTTTTGTACATTATAATCTCTTCTTTATCGCGGACATTTCTTTGGAAAAAGTAACCATAGTTGGTACTTAATTTGTTTTTATACTGAAAGACGGAAACGTGTACGGTCTGCTGTCCTTTTGAACCATTGTCATGGGGATAATTAGTAGATTGTAAGTTTTCAGTAAATAATTATGTAACGGCCTGATGTTTAAATCGTAACCGACTCAATTGGAAACGTGTGGGAAAAAAATACACTTTAAATTTAAGTATAATTATATACTCTCTAGTCATATAAATTAACTTTTATATTTCCTTTGAAAAAAATCAAAATTTTTGTTTTGTTTTTGTGATTGGACGAACGTATATTATTATATTATGATAAATTTCGATACAATAACGTCGTCTTACAACCATATTGAAAACATTTAAATGTTTTTTTTTTTTTAAGTTTTGTTACTTATAATTTATTCACGATTGGTTTTTTTTAATTTTAACTTTATTTTGCAATTTTAATGTGATAATATAAAACAAAACCAGTATGTGATAGTCAATGAGAATGTTTGAGTTGAAATAAGTACAGGCGTTAAAATATATTAGTATTAAAACTATTTCCAAACATTCGAAATGCTTTGTTATATATTGATACCATTTTTTGTTTTTAATCGGAGAGCTTAGTTTTAGTTGTTTATTGATTAAGTCGTTTAATTTTCTATTTTATTTATACTCGTATATATGTATTTATTTATAATAGTCGAATATGCATGTATTTATCTTGAAAATATTGTTAAAGAATTGACATGTGATTGTATAACTGTGATAGAAACGGAAGGAAAGTGATATAAAAATGATACAAATGAAAAGCTAGGTTTTAGGTAGATGTATATTATAAAAAGTATATTAAGGGTTGTGATATTGTTAAGGTAATGTAAGTTGGAGGCGGGATCAGGTAGTAAAATAACGAAAGGACGTGTTGCTAGATTGAGTTAGAAAAAGTATAGACAACGAAAATAGTAACTGTTTTTAATCAATTCATTGTCGTGCAAACTAAGAATCAGACTGATAGAGGATTTCGACCAAAAACAGCGTGGCGTAAGTGGTGAGAATTACAACACAAAGCATCGTATGCACATTAGTACTAACAAAACGTATAAGATAAATATTTTGCTCAAAACAGTATTAAGGCAAAAGTCACAGTACACAAATATTAACACTACAAACATTGTATTTTAATTATTACACAGCGTACCTATTCAAGATAATTAGCAAGTTAAAACTCGTAACTATAATAGTACAACTTTTTCATAACGTTTGATTAAGCCTATTTACAGCTCTACCTCATGTTTATATACAGTACGGTACTTCACAAATATTTGTAACAAAAGTACAAAATAGCCAATTTTTTTTGTTAATTATTCTAATTAATTTGGTATTTTTACGTTTAACCTTAATAACCTCTGTTTTGTTTTAAGTAAATATTATGTTGTATTATTTTCTCTGTGTTAACTTCAGTTTTATTATTATTTGTTTTTGAAAATATTGTACGACAATATGTGTATATCTTTTTTGTTATATAAACACATTTAATATTCTGTAAATTTCGTCAAACAAATTCACGGCTATAATAAAATAATATATATATTGTAGACAAAAAATATAGTTAATATTAAAGTATAATGATGTGCTATACAATTTACAAACATAATAGTAATATATGATACTATACCTTAAGCTTTGTTTTATACATACGTAATATAATAATAAAATTAATTTAGTCATTCGAAGATTGCGTTTGTTGTTGCGGTTAAGCGTTTTTCTGTACAATTACACATTTTTTTACATCACTCGCTAATAACAATGTATAATGATATTATAATACTATAGACAATTGTTTAGGGACAGCGCAACGTTAATTAAGATAGTAAACATATACCTATTTGTAGTCGAGTGTGTATTTCTACAACTCTATATTATACTCGCTGTGTTTTGTACAACTTCCTTTTAGTTTGTATTCAATTAAACCCCAGTGATAATACTATTATTGCTTGTTAACAACCTTAATTTTGTTTACTCTTGTAAAAACTATGAATCTGTATCCCTTACAGTATTTCGTCGTGTATTTTGAGTACATCAAATTCATGTCATAATGAGAACAAATTAAAATTTAAACAAATTACTTTCTTACCGTTGCTCTTTAGATGACAATAGTCACACGTAGATTAAGTACATAGTGCGACATTTTACACAAGAGAGGTCTCTTCAACGGATTTTCAAAATATCCTGAGGGTCTTTTGTAATTTATTTACATAGTTGTAAAATAATTTGATAACTTTTTCAGGAGTAAATAATTATATAATTTTATCATTACTCGAAAGGAAAGGGTTGTTTTTTACAATATACAGGGCTTAATAACTCAATAAATGTATGGGATAAAATAAATTTTTGCTCAAATTAGAGCCGTTTTATACATAAATTTATATTTGTTTACATATTTTATCATTGTAATTTTGCACTCTGATTATTAATTATACATTTTTTTATTGTTATAACTTTTGAAAACTCAATCCGGGTTTTGATAAACTAGTTAAACTGTCGAGTAGCTAATTAATGTTGCTGTTAAGCACTCAGTAGGTAACCTTACCTACTACTTGTATCGTTTTTAATACGTTGATTTAGCGAAGCCATAAGTTCAATTCAGTACAATTTTGTTTCACATTCAATTCCTATAAATACAATTTATACATCGATAATGATGATTTTCTAGAATTGTACAAAATGTTACGATATTATTAACATTTAATACGGAGGAAATGTCGAGGGTATTAGCAAATTTTATTTTTTACGGCCAAACCAAATAGTTGCCGAAATATTTTTTGGGATACGTACCAACTATATGGTTATTATTGATAACAAATAATAATATTTACAATTAAATCGATAATAATTATGAAAAGAAACGATTACCATTGTATTTGGCAAATATAAACATTTTTATTTTTTAACTATAAGATGTCGTTGACTGTATGCTCATATATAAATAATTATGATTACTATTAAATAAAATTAGGGATAATATAACTATCTACTTACAGTTAAATATATAATAATTATATTAAGTTCTTTTTCTTGTTTAACAAGCAAATTTCAATTGATTTGTACACACTATATGATGTAACAAAATTACGTCTTGATTAATAAATTATAATAAACAATTGTTTTTGTATCCATAAAATAACTGTAAACAATTTATTTGTGAAATGGATTGTATTTATACTTTTAGAAAATTTAGTGATTGGAAAAGTAAAATATGTCGATTGTATGCATAACATAATTAAACTTGTTCTTATGAGACTGTCTGCAGATATGAAAAATAAAGTGATTAGGTACCTATGTAATTATGTTTTAATATATTTATTATACACGTACATTTGTGTAGGTACCAAAAATTATCGTATGATTTTAATCATACTAGAAAATGTTAAAAAATAGATTTCCTTGTCACTTTTATGGTTAAAAATTAAAATTTATATTTCCTTTCAAAAAAAAAATAATGTCCTTTTATGTGGACAGAAAAAGCTTCTACTTGCTAACATAAATTAAATATAACTATTATACAAATAAATAAACAAATTTTCGTTTAAATTAATATTATATATATATATATATATATATAGTTTTTACTTAACTTCACTAGTTAGAAAAAATAACGACTTTCCGAGCCTTGTTTTTACGTTTCTACCACATTGAAGACTCTTTTAACTTGTCTTTTACGATTTTTGATAGAATTGCATTAATATCATCTTCTCCAAAACTAATATTTGAAAAAAATGTAAAAATTTATTTGTATATGTAATTATGTTTATGTATGTATGACATACAAACATACGTTATATGTTCACATACATATACGCATGTAAACGTATTTATACATTAATATTATTTGTTTACATTGTAAAAATAATTAACATTTTTAAACTCCAAGCAAACATTTGTGATTATTTTTCCATACGGTAGTTTCATTTAGAAAATTTATCAATTTATACAACTCAGAAAATAATTTATTTATTGTCATGTATTTAAATGTTATCGTTGACCCACATTCTAAATATTCTATGATTTCATCACATAAGCTATACTTTTATTTATCATTTTTGGAAGAAGGCAGAGAAAATTGACAGCTTTTAACTTTAATTAAATCTCTAAAAGGAAGTATTAGTCTTATAACATAGAAATTTAGTAGAAACACTTCAATATATTATAATGCAATGTTTTTAATCTGTCAGATTAGAAACTATTGGTAGAATTGTTTAGCTCTTAAGAATTAATATAACACGTAGGATTTGTTTAACACAACTCCTCGTTAAGTTTTAAATACATACGTTTATTTATTGTAAACAGGTAATAGCTCAATTACAATAATATATGGTAGGTAGTGTAGAATTACACAAATTTAATACTCTGAAAAATTAGAAGTTATGAAATATTTACATTAAAACATTAATGAGATACACATTAACACCTTAAGATTATCACATAAAATGGGATCTATTTTGAATGTATTTACAAAACTCATAAAACTGTATATAGGGTGTTTTTGTCCATAGCTAGTAGATTGGAACGGTACATAAAAAGAATCTATTTCCTTGGTGCTATGATTAGGAACATAAAATTTTAATTTGGAGAGCAGATCTGAACAATATATTAAATCATTCTCTAATTTAAAATTAAAACGTTCGCGCCGCATACGAACGCGTAGATGGCTTACTTAGTTAGTAAGAGCGATATTATTTCTGGTCCTGGTATTAACATTAATCAAATCGTATTCTCCTTATTTCAAGTGATTCAATATTTAAAAAGAAGAGCTGAGGACTATAGAACGAGTGAGGTTTATATTCAATGCCATACTCAATGGAAACGGATCTCAAAAAACGATTTTCCATTGATTCGATCGTTTTTATTAGGTC